ATATTATAATAAGAGAAATCAAGACACAAATAGAAATTTTGTTTTTTAATAATAATTTTCATTTATTAGTTTTTTTTTACTTAAAAAATTTTGTTTGCTGTTTTAATAATAATAAAAAAAATTCTCTTTAAACAAATTTTTAATCTGTTTATTGAAATAAATAAATCTATTTATAAAAATTGTTTTATAAATAAAAATAATAAATTTTCCTTCCTCATGAGGGAGCTTTTTCTATATATGTATTTTATATTGTTTGTTTGAATTTAAATTCAAATCAATGAAATAAAGCAAAACGAATAACAATTGTAAAAGCTTTTGTAGTGAAATCGAATTAAAAATATGAATATATATGTATATCTTTTCGTTTGGATCAAAAGATAATTTAATTATTTTCATCTACGGCTTAAAAATTATGCTTGGAAAACCGGAAAATAATAATTTAATAATAAATATTCCCTTTTGTAGAATGATATACATCAGTTATTTTAATTTAAAAGATAAATTAATATTTTTACATTTAAAAATTTTATTTGGTTAATAAATTAAAACCAATAATTTTTAAGCTCATTACCTTATCATTTTTAACTTTCTATATTTTACAATCGATGCTTTGCTTTTGTTTTCAGCGAATTAAAATTAAAAAATTTTGTTTGTTTCAAGTATAAAAAAATTTTTAACTGAAATTTAAAATTTATAGTGGCAATCCATTTTTTATGAAAAAATTTTTATACTTTTATAGAAATTATTTTTAAAAAAGTTCAAAATTTATTTTAATTATTTTGCATTTGTTGAAATAAAGAATTTTTAAAAGAATTTTTTTTTTCAATTTCTTTAAATAGAAATTATTTTAGTTTTAAATTAATAGGAAAATTAAAAAAAAAGTTATGAATTGTGCTATTTTTTTATATTTGAGTAAATAAAATTATATAACGCATTTATAAAGAGCCAGATATATGTATTTCTGAAATAAGTAGTAAAGACTCTGTTTAGTCAGACAGTGGTCTTGAATTTATTGCATCAATTCATAATCACTATAGCATAAAATCTCTTCACTTAAAATCCAAAATTTTTTTATAAATTATAATAAATTAAATTAAATTAAAACTTAATTTTTGACGGTATGTCTATAAAATGAAATATTTTTAAAAACATTTCCATAAATATGAGAAATGTGCAAATTTTTCAACTTTTTTTTTTATTCATTTTTTACGGTATTTAATAAACTTTTGATTTTAATATTGAGAGATATTTAATTGATCCACCTGCTTCTGAGTAGATTTACAGATAGCAATGGTAATCGAAATTGCACGGATTTGAATGAAAGCTCCCGGTTCTATCGATCAATCAGCCATAAGTAATACGGGGCTTTTGATGGGTTACACACATAGCGTCGAAATGAAAAGCTTCGATCCGCATGCTATTCTCCCGAGTTGAGACGTAATTACATTAAATGTCTAATTGCTGAAAATAGCAATTAACATATACCGCTAATTTCTCCTTAACACGTTTCACTTTATTTGGAGATTTTTTTCTTTTTTGGTTCAGTAAGAACATTCGACATCTTAAAGGTGCGTGACTGAGGAAAAAAAAATTATTTCAATCAAGTAAAAATTATTATACGTTTCAAATAAATGATTTACTTTTCTACTTATATTTACTGATCTAAAAAAAATGACGCTTATTGTTTTTTTTATTGTAGAACAGCCTTAACAAAATTTAGTAAGATATTTGGAAGATAGCCATTGTACCCACTCTCCATATTTGACATTTGTCATAATTCTCGTCAACTACCGCACCCTGTTCTAGTGAAAATTTACTGACTTTATAGTTACTTTTAATTTTAACTAGTATGTCACTAAATTTTAATTAAAGCAGAGTGCGGTTACTACTGACTAGCAGAGATGGGAAGCGATAATAATTTAAATATTATTTAATTGAATAGTTATTCTACAAAAATTATTTTTTTATGCTACCTTAAGAAGAATTTAAACCTGTCAGAAGAATAGAAATTAACGAATTAAAATCATTTCCTGACAGAGGTTTAAATACTTTCTTATATTAAAAATAAAAAAACAAAATTTGCTAAGAAGTTACCCCCCATTAAAAATTTATAAATACCACCATTTTGAGATGTTTTCCTGTTCCCCCATATATTTTCCCTAATTATTCATTATCTAGTATGAAACACTTGCTTTCAGCCATTGAATCCAGTACGACACTAATATCACTCATTGAATTTTTTCTTCTTCTTTTTAATTTTATTTTCTGATCAATTTTAAAAATTACTGATGTAAAGAAATTATTGTAAAACAACCTTAACAAAACAAACTTTGTTATATATATATATATATATATATATATGCATATAAATTAAAATTAAATTAAAAATTTGCGATTAATTAAAGACAATTTATAAATACCACCATTTTGAGATGTTTTCCTGTTCCCTCATGTATTTTCCCCAATTATTCATTATCTAGTATGAAACACTTGCTTTCAGCCACTGAATCCAATACGACACTAATCTCACTCATTAAATTTCTTCTTCCTCTTAATTTTATTTTCCAAGCAATTTTACAAATTACTGATGTAAAGAAATTATTGTAAAACAACCTTAACAAAACAAACTTTGTTATATATATATGCAATTTGAGTCAATTGAATTGGTAAATTCTCTAAATTCGTGATTAAATATAAATTTTTAGGTTAGGGTTGTTTGTTTACTAAGCTCATTTTACGTAGCAGCAAAAGATTTCAAGTTAGTAAACAAACATCCCTAACCTAAAAAGTTATGTAATTACAAATTCAGAGATTTTACAAATGCAATTGGATCAAATACATAGCAAATTAAATTAACAAAACACTATTTATTTTTACTTCATGTCAACAAGTGTTGTCCATGTTCAAAATATGAGTAAAATTGATAAAACTGGAAACATTTTAAGAATAACATTGTGTCGTTTTTTTTGTTTTCCCTCCAGCTATCTGACGTAACACCTAGAATCGACTCTGATATCACAAATGACACAGCCTAATAATTTCTGTATTTCTGTCCTTTTCTATTTCTTGCGATTGGTTTAAATTGTCCCCACTTGCCATTTGTCATAATTCTCGTCAATTACCGCACACTGCTCTAGTGAAAAATTACTGACATTGTAGTTAAAATTAAAAGTCACTATAAAGTCACTAAATTTTCACTAGAGCACTGTGCGGTAGTTGATTAAGGCTCCAAGAAGGTGCGTAGAGTTTAAAAAATTTTTTGCAAGGAACAATTCTAAAATATATATGTATATAGAACTTAACGTGATAAATTTCTTAGTCTACGATTGAACTATAAAAAATTGGAACCGAGCCATAATTATAATTAAGAATATTTAATTAATTATAATTGATGATAATGATAAATATTTTTTTTCAAGATGGTTATAATATGTTTAAATAAAAAAAATTGTAAGGTGAAAAAAAAATCTTTGTAGAGTTGATTTTTTTTTATTTTTCTCACCTATAGAGGCATCTAACTCGTGGTTTGAAATCGATTCTTATTTCCTTCAGTTTCAACCCCTTTTAATGTGAAACAGACACGAAAGGCTGTGTTATACTTGACGTTTGGTTTTCGTTTCTGCCAATGAATCTTTTGTTCTCTCTCTCTCTCTTCCACCTTCATTTGTTCTTTGTAACACCAACATTAAGAAAACTACTTGAAAACTTTGTATTTTGTAACTTTAAACGGATGATTTTTACACCCTTCCTTTATCCTACAACAATAAATTTATTATAAAATTTTACTTTCAAAATTTTTATAATAAATTTTTATTTAAAAAATTAATTGATTCATTTTTTTTAATAAAAAAAAACAGTTTCTAAATAATTAGTAATTTAGTTTGATAAAAATTGTTTTAATTTCTTTGTATTTAAAACATGATTTTACATATAAGAAGTGTGAAAAATATTGAAAAATTAGATCGAACTGAATTTTTATTGACGTTTAAAATTTCATACTTATTCGTTTTAAGGTAACTTATAAAATAAATAGAACAAAATAGAATATTTATGTTAAAAAAAATTGTCCCAAGAAAAATTATTCCGGAAATTAGAAATCTTACCAGAATCTTTAAATTTGAAATTTTCTGCTATATAATTTTATGATATTCATAAAAAAAAAAAATTTCTACTCGTTTCTGTAAAAATATATTTTTTCAATTATCCTTAAAACAAATACATACCTATATTTATGATGTATAAAAAATATGTTCACCAAGAAAATATATTAAATAATTGGTATATTTATTTTCAAATATTTGTCCATATAACGTAAATTATGTTTAAAATAGAATTTTATTTTTCAATTATTTTTTGACAAAATATATAAAATCATAACTTCAAAAAGAGAAATGAAAAAAAGCCAATTTTTTTTTTTGAATAGAAAATAAAAAATTTAATTCCACTCAACATTGCGGCCTATGTGGAAAAATGTAGTTTCGACACATTTTTGTTGACCTTGGATGTCAAGGTTTAGGGATTCTGGAATTTCAAATACTGAATGAGTCTTGCGTACGTTTCCAAGAGTTATGGAAATTCGATTTTCTAATTTCCGGTGTTCTCGTTCTCATTTCAACCCTGGTAAACACTTTGATGGGCGCCTGAAAAGTGATTGCCGGGCTTGCGCTGCTAAAACTTAGTTGTACTTTGAAAGGCGCAGGTTTAACTTCTGTCGAGTTTTCGTTGTTTTTTTTTTTTATTTTTTCATTTCATTGAATCTGCGAAAAAAAAAAATTTATTTCTGTTTCTACCAGTAAAAATATTTAATTGTATATTTTAAATATATTTAATTCTGTAAATTAATTTTTTTTATTATACGTATTAAATAAATTGCAATTGACTATAGGAGATAGTGTTTAAAAAAAAAACAAAAAAATTACTGAATAAACAACATTTTTTTGCTATTACTATAGTGATTTAAAGTTTATTATTCAAATAAAGACAATTTATTCGTGTTTCAGTTATTTGGAGATTTACAACGAAAGGGTCAGGGACCTCTTGAAACCAACAACAAGTGCCGGTGGACTAAGAGTTCGCGAACACCCTCGATTGGGTCCATATGTTCAAGGTAGATATTTTTGAAGACTTTTTTTTTGGAATGTTTAAAAAAAAAATTGCAAAAATAAGGTTTAATTAGTTTTAACACCAAAAAAAAAAAAAAAATTGCACTTTAATGCCTTTAACGGTCTGACAGACCTTAAAAAGCATTAATGTACAATTTTTTATCATCCAATCTAGTTTATAAGTTAAAATAACTTCTTAATTTTTGAAAAAATTATTTCATTATATTGTAAATAAATATATTTATTATTTTTGAGGTCTCACGCGTCACAAAGTCTCCAATCTGGGGTCGTTGATGTCTTACGTGGAAGAGGGTATCAAAGCAAGAAAAACAGCATCAACTCTACAGAATCCAAGTAGTAGTCGTAGTCACGCATTGCTTACGGTTTCTCTTTCATCAGTTTCACAAAACGGTCATTCAACATCAGCAATTACTGCCAAAGAAAAGGATTTTCATCGTGGCAGTAGATTACATTTGGTCGATCTGGCGGGTAGTGAAAGCGCAGCCACGTGCAGTGGAATTAATCGACTAAAAGTGAGTCATATCTAACTCTATAAATATAATTCTTATTTATATGTGTGCACTGAGTCCTCAAAATTACCTCGATGAAATAATTATATATTTATTGTATATATATATATATATATATATATATATACTTCTATATCTGGAGAAATTAATTGTACTTTTCTTGCCTCTTTCTAGTTTTTTAAGTTTTCAACCTAATTTTTTATAAAATACACAATTTAGACCATTATCTATATCTGTAAGTCTATTTTTTCCTCACATTCTTTACTTGAGAGTATATGAATAATTAGCATATACTTCTGTTTTTATTTTCTAACCTCTAAACAATATTTCGCCATAAACTACAATAATTGATATATAGATATAGGAAAATTAACAATTCATACAAAGTAAATGTTCCCATTTGTCATAATTCTCGTCAACTACCGCACCCTGCTCTAGTAAAAATTTACTGACTTTATAGTAACTTTTAATTTTAAGTAGAATGTCACTAAATTTTTACTAGAGCAGAGTGCGGTTACTACTGACTAGCAGATTTGGGAAGCGATAATAATTTGAATATTATTTAATTGAATAGTTATTATACAAAAGTTATTTTTTTATGCTACCTTAAGAAGAATTTAAACCTGTCAGAAGAATAGAAATTAACGAATTAAAATCATTCCTTGACAGAGGTGTAAATACTTTCTTAAATTAAAAACCAAAAACAAATTTTGCTAAGAAGTTACTCTCTATTAAAAATTTGAAAATTAATTAAAGACAATTTATAAGTATCACCATTTTGTTAGACGTTTCCCTGTTCCCTTATGTATTTTTCCCAATTATTCATTATCTAGTATGAAACACTTGCTTTCAGCCTCTGAATCCAATACGACACTGATATCACTCATTGAATTTCTTCTTCGTCTTAATTTTATTTTCTGGACAATTTTCAAAATTACCGATGTTAGGAAAGTATTGTAGAACAGCCTTAACAAACTGTAATAATACATTTGGAAGGCAGCATTTGTACCCACTCTCCAAAGTCCATACTCGCCAATTGTCATAATTCTCGTCAACTACCGCACCCTGTTCTAGTGAAAATTTAGTCACTTTATAGTAACTGTTAATTTTAACTATAAAGTCACTAGAGCAGGGTGCGGTAGTTTACGAGAATTATGACAATGTTAACTTTTCGATTTTTTCAGGACGAGATGATGAGCGCGCATCTATTGCCAACTGTCGACAAAAAAATTTATTTTCTGTTCCACTATTTCTACAATCTTAACTTGAAACTATTGTTGAAATAGTAAAAAAAATTTTGTTTTCTTAAAGAAAATAATAATTTTATATCCTTACAAGTAAAATATTTTTTTTTAATTTTTGGTATATATGTGAAATAAATTTTTTGTCTATAGTAATGTAATGGATACGCGCACATTTTTACATCATTAACAAAGTTATTTTGATTTATAATTTATTTTTTCTTTATATTTTTATTTTTTTACATTTAATTTACCAGTGAGAGTATTTAGTCATTTTTAATCAAAAAAAATATTAATTATTATTTATTGAAACAATTAATTTTACAGGTTTTCAAATTTAGAGCCATTATTTATGTTGGCAGTACTGTTTCTGCTGTCAAAAAACACATAATTTCAGTTTCCTAACCTATAAATATATTTTACTTTATTAAATGACTACAGTTTTTATTTGTTTGAAATTTGTTTTTCGGGGGTTTTTGTAGTCGCTGATTACGAATCTGATGTCAGTTTTTCAAAATTCAAAATGGCGGCTCCAATATGGCGGTCGAAAAAATTTAAAAAACGGTCGGATTCGCTTTAAACTTGTTACTCGAGGATTTTCAGGGTCCCTGATTACGAATTCGATGTCAGTTTTTCAATGTTATAAATGGCGGCTCCAATTTGGTGGTCGAAAATTTAAAAAAAACATTCAGATTCGTTTGTAATTTGTGAAATTGAATTCAAAACTATAAATTTTAAAAAACTAACAGTAAATTTTAAGCAAAAATTTTGAAAAATTACTGAATATTTTTCACGTGAAATAACTAAAAATTTATTATTACATTTATATATATAGATTAGTTGTCAAATTGTCAGAAAAGATACGAATAAAATTCGAATGACATTTAAATAGAAAATTTAATAAATCCCAATAAAATGCAATATTTGTTTTTTTGATGATCAGTATACAATAAGTTGACAAAAAATACATATATAGAATATTAAAACGCTTTATCGTCTTAATTTAAAATCACCTCAATAATAAAATTGAAAAGTATATCCCGTCATTCAAATATCCTATTACAGCATTGCACGAAATATAGACGATTACTATAAGCGCCTTGCATTCAGGAAACAATGTCACGCGATATAAAAACAAATAGTCTATTTAGTCAAAATCTTTGATTATATTGTATTATATTGAATACATAATAGGGAAATTATTTTATCATTCTCCCTCTCTCACTATTTTAAAAATGTAAATCTAATTTATTTTTAATTCAAAAAAATAATAATAATTTATAATATTTAATAATAATAATTTTACTAAAAATATTTTTTTTTAATTTATCATTTTAGTAAAAAAAAATTTTTTTTTAAAAGTAAATTACTTAAGGTATTAGTCGCGCGCCGGCTCTAACCAAAAGTTTGTCTTGAGTCTGACTCAGTCTGTGCTTAGCAAGAGGTATAGTTCTGAGTCAAACTTTTTGAAGGGTACAGGTAATTTTCACTCAGAGCGCCGCGTTCTCGCACGTGTAGAACTAAAGTTTTGATCGCGGCAACGTCGCAATCTGAATGTACCAGTGCTACTGAATGTTAGAGTCACAAAAAGTGTTTAGCTGTTTTTGTCGTAATTATTTAATACTAATCTATGTTGTGAAATTTTAAATATGTTATTTTTTTATTCTACTCTATGAGATATTCCTACTTTCTAACTGTGTACTTTGCATGATTTTGAATTTTGTATGCATTCGCGCGCTACAGCGTTGCCAAGTTTACTGCTTTCCAGCAGTGGAACTTCATATAATTTAAAATTTTGTTAACTTTCTCCTAATATATTTATAGTTTGGTACGGTCAAAAAATTTCAGTTTTTTTGTATGCATTCGTTTCATGAGAATGTATTATGTGGTAGTTTTATTTTAAAATCTGACGACTGGTTTTCATTTAAATAATTATAAAGCAAATTCCTTACATGCATTAGGTGCTCCGTCCATGTAAAAAGTATCAACTTTGAAATGATATTTTAAAGCTTAGGAACGGTCAAAATCGATGGGATTGGTCTTATTTTGTAGATAATTATGTCAGAAACACTCATGCAAAATTTAAAAAATATCTGACGAAAATGATTTTACGCGACTAATACCTTAACAAATGTCGATTTACAGGAAGGAGCTAATATAAACAAAAGTTTGGTGGCTTTGGGTAACGTAATATCAGCTTTAGCTGAAAGAGGATCCAGTGGGAACGTTCCTGGCAGAAGATTCATACCTTACAGGGATTCATCTCTCACTTGGCTCTTAAAAGATGCTCTTGGGGGAAATGCAACAACAATTATGTTCGCTAGTATGTCTTTAACTCAATTTAACAATATGAAGAATAGTAAACATAAATTTGTTTCTCTTATGAGAATAATTTTTTAAAAATTGTAATTAATTAAAAAAAAATAGCCAAAGAAAAAGGCGCATAGCGTCTATATTATATAGGGTTTCGAAGCAGACAAATTAAATTTTGTACTAAAGATTTAAGTCTAATTCCCTAAGGTTTATACTTTAAATCTTATTTCTATTACGATTTGGTCAGGTTTAAATCGGTTTCAATGATTTTCCAGGCCAACTAAGATGGAGTGATTAAAATTCATAAACCAAGGTAGAGAAAGTAGTTTGTTTTTTTATAATTTTTTTAGTAAATTAGTTAAAAACGTAGTGAGCTTGATAAATAAAGTAATTATTTTTTTTTAACAAACTCTATTCGTTAAAGAGCGAAGGGATAAATATTTTCCTTTGTAGAAATTATAATTTAAAAATGCTATAAATATTTGCTATTAAATAATATACATATATATTATAAATAAGTAGGAGTTAGTAATTTAATTCTAATAAATTTTAATTTTGCAGCATCTGGGAATTAAGACTCCATGCCTTCTGTTCTAATTTTCAAATATATATATATTTTATAAAAATGAAATTTAATTCTCATTGCACATGAAAAAATTCATTATCAATTATAGTGAAGTTGATAACACTTTTATAGTAGAGCACAAAATTGAAATAAAACAATTATTTTAATTGAATCATGAATTTCGAAACAACTCTTAAAAACATAGTAAGAGTCATTTTTACTATCTATTGTTAAAATGGTATTTACGCTTTTTTTGAGTTGAGCCCTTTCCGAAATTTTTACATTTCCCTGGCGGATTCGATTTACCTAAAATCGACCCAGCTGGGTCGAATCTAAGTCGAATCTAAGTCGAATTTAGGTAATTATCAAAAAAAAGCTTTAAATTGATGAAAATTTATAAAAATTAGTATTGTGAGGTTAAATGAACATTCATAGAGTTAATTTTTGTAAGAATTTTAATTATTAACGTGATAAATAATAAATAATTACTTGATATGTGCAAGTGGTAACTGTAGATTTTAACTCGTTGTCAGTTTTCATAATATTTTCAGAAATTAGTGTAAAATGTGTGAAAAAATAATTTATATTTAATAGAAATTGCAAATTTTATTAAATTATTTTATTATTTAACAATCACATTTCATAATAATTGCAATTTAATTAAAAAATAACAGTTTTCTTAAAAGTGACAAGAACTCTATTATACCGACCACACACGGAACAGCGGAACGCGCGCCAAGATTTGAAAATAGTTACAAATTTTAAACATTCATTAAATAGAAAATATGCAATTTTTTTCTTTATTTATAAAAAAAACTTTAGAATTTTGTTAAAATAATAAAAATTAAGCTGATATATTTTTCTTAAATTTTTACTTATAACTTTTTAAAAAATTCTTAAATAAAAGATCAAAAAATTTAGTTAAATTTGTATTTTGCCATCATAATTTTTTAGACAAAAATAAGAAAAATTTACATTAAAACTTATTTAACAATTACATTTTTTTAACAAAATTCTTTTTTTTTTAAAAAAAAAGTTGCAGAATTTTTATTTCATATTCACAATTCTTTAATGAAATTGTTTTTTAATACAAGTTATAAAAAAATTAATCATTTATTTATACTAATGCTAATAATCACTAATTTTAAGTAATAGGATAGCTGGAAATTTGTGCTCCCTGCATGCTGCTGCCATCTAACGGCGTCTGCAACTAATATAGGGCGATAGTTAAAAGTAAAGAAATAGTGATTATTAGTATTAATATAAGTAAATTGGTATAAATAAATGATTAATTCGGCATTTCTGAGAAAATTTTTATAAAATGATTATCTTTTATGGTTAATCAAATATATTTAATTAATGAAATTAAGATAATAATGAAATAGTTGTAATTAACAATTTGAATTTTCCCGCCAGAAGATCATGTGCATTCATATTCGCGCACTTTTACCGTGTGTGGTCGGTATAATAGAGTTCTTGTCACTTTTAAGAAAACTGTTATTTTTTAATTAAATTGCAATTATTATGAAATGTGATTGTTAAATAATAAAATAATTTAATAAAATTTGCAATTTCTATTAAATATAAATTATTTTTTCACACATTTTACACTAATTTCTGAAAATATTATGAAAACTGACAACGAGTTAAAATCTACAGTTACCACTTGCACATATCAAGTAATTATTTATTATTTATCACGTTAATAATTAAAATTCTTACAAAAATTAACTCTATGAATGTTCATTTAACCTCACAATACTAATTTTTATAAATTTTCATCAATTTAAAGCTTTTTTTTGATAATTACCTAAATTCGACTTAGATTTGACTTAGATTCGACCCAGCTGGGTCGATTTTAGGTAAATCGAATCCGCCAGGGAATTCCGCTAAAATAATTTTAAGTTAAAAATATTATTAGTATTTTTAATGTTTTTTTTTCTTAGCAGAATTTTTTGTAGGTTATGTAATATTAAAATTTTGGTGACGTACTTATTGAACACTAAATTGAACGCAAACATCTACTATAATTTTTTTACTGTATTAAGAAAATATGTTTAGAGAGCACAAGAAAGAATATACAGAAATTTTAGTCTTGTTAGTGGATAGACACAAATCTCTTTAAACGTATATGTATGTATGTATGTATATATGTGTATATATACGTACTTTGTAGTTACAGCTTAGAGAAATTGAAACGCGTAGAATTGAGGGTTGCGGGAGAAAGTTTTAATTAAATGAAACACTTTGTCGTTTACAGCAATATCGCCAGCGAGTGGGAGTTACAACGAAACCGCTCATACACTACGTTTTGCCCAGAGGGCGCAAAGTGTGGTTAACAGACCTGTGGTCAACGAAGATCCCATAGCGAGAATTATACGTGAATTGAGATCCGAGGTTGCAAGACTTAAATCATTATTACTCGAGAAAGTACGATTTTCCTTTTATTATAATCTTACAATAAATCATACCAAAAAAAAAATATATATTTGCAAATTTCCTCTGGTTATACACTTAATTGCATAAATGCAGTCCTTAGAGTTTGACGACATTTTGAAAAGTCGTGACACTTCTATAATAATTTTATTAATTCGTGGCGTATGTTGTGTAAAGGTCAGTACACACTAGTAGATTCACGAAAATCATTCCCAAACGTAAATAATAATTTAGAAAAGAACAGAGTGTGGCAAACCATATAAGAATTAATTAGTTAAAAGGGGTCCGACTTTTACGAATGGCACAAAGTTGAGAATTCTTTCGGAATAACAATTATAATTATTAGTCATTAATTATATGACTGTTGAGAGACATATTTAAAAGAGAAATATAACCACTTCAAAAGGAATAATTAAATTGGACTTACCTTGATTATCTCGATGTTAGAATCAAAATTGCGCTATGGTTCTTTTAATTAATTAATATGATCTTATGCCAATCGAATAAATATTGCGCTAATATAGTCTAAATATCCTTTATTTATTTTAATTTTCTTTTATAATCTCAATAATAATTATTTTAACTTCGCAAAGACGACTATTAACAATATATATTGGTTAACACCACTTAACTATGAGAACGCTATTCTCTCTCTGAATATGAATTTCCGGTGGCCGGATACATGTGCCTTTGTCGTCTGCTAATTTTTCACGCGTACCACTTAAGTTGGTAGTAGCGCGGGAAAACTGTTTAAATTCAAATTATAGATCATTTGGGAAAATCACCCGGAAGGGCAGGGAATAATAATTAAGTAACAAATTGGTTCGTTACAAGAGATATATTTGTATCTTTTTTTATCTCATGCATCTCAATTGTGCGTTGGCCCTAACTAATATAAACGCCACGAACTAATAAAATTATTATAGAAGTGAACACAGCAATAATAACAATAAAAAATGACATTAGATATAAAAATTTCTAACATAAATTGACAATAAATTATTATTATTATTACTTAGTGTGAAAATGGATAAATTTCTAATTTCAGGAGTTAGAGGGAGTTACAAAGCCATCGTGCAGTTGTGAACATAATTTGGAACAAGAGTTAGAGAAAGAAGATCAAAAGGATGATGAATTGGTGTCCCCTTTGAAACGTATATCATCGTCCCACCTTCTTGGTGAACCAAAGGAGATTATCAAGTCGTCTATCAGGAGGTATAACTCGAATGAAAGCCTAGTGACACGTGAATCTAGACACTCGAATTCTATCAGAAGGTGCGGTTCCTTTGAATCAATCAGTCCAAGTATATCCTTTGCTAATGAAGGAAGATCCTATCGTCCAGAACTATCTGAATCGCTCAATTACCAAGTCAACGAGCCTGTCTTCGTCGATATTCCAACATTAGTGGCCGTTTTGATCAAGCCAGAGAATTCTTCTCATGTGCACTCGACACAAATTGAAGAGGTCTATAGTGATGGACTATTGGATGGATTAATCGATACAAAACTCATTCAAGAAACTCACTCTAAACAAGACTTATCAAAAAATAAAAATTACAATCAATTTAGTGATAATTCAATAATAAATACCGAAAATTTAAATATAATTGATGAATTACAAATTAATGATCCACTTTTCTCTAAAGGCAAAGACCAAGATTTAACCGAATTTACTGATGGTCAAGAAAATTTTTCTAATTCAGCAGACAATCATGAAAATGTTCCAAATAACAACGAATTAGTGAATAAGGAAATATTAAATTCAAGAGAACATTCTAATTTTGATGTTAATAGAAAACGTAATTCCAAAGATTTAGCATCACTTCCATTAAAACATACAAAAAAGGAGAAATTCAATAACTTTGAACGTACAAATAAGGGAAAATTAAGAAAACAGGATTCAGTTGATACGACAAAGAAATTAAATAATCTCACCGCCTCAAAGATTTTTGGTTCGGTTGATGGTCTTTCAAAAAAACAAGAAGAACCAAATTTAGTTCAACGAGCACACACAAATCTTGAGAAATCAAAAAGATTGAATAATATCAAAGAAGTTGATGATCGAAGAACCACTAAAACCAATAGCCTTTGGAAGGGTTTAGGTACAAGTCCTCAACGAAAATGGAGTAATGATTCTGATCGAAGTCTAAAAGAATCACACAAAACTAAAGCATCATTACGAAAATACAGTGTTGATGATCTTAAACGTAAAACAAGTAAAGACAGTAGTTCCAGTAGTTCCAAGGAAGATCAATTAATTTCCCCATTAGCGAAGGGTAATTATTCAAGAAAGAGTTCATTTTCAAGAGGCTCTGATCAGGACAGGCCTCATACTCCAATTCAAAGAAATCGAAGAGCCGAAATTGTGGCAGCAGTGACTGAAAGACTTTATTCCAGTGGTAAGAGATCCGAGGAGGGAACTGGTGCAACAACACCAGCTTCGGATTATCGATCACCGGAAAGTACAGACGTTAAATTAGCTGCTGTCACTAGAATGCGTTTACAGGAAATCTCCAGAAGAATGTTGGCTAAACGTAGAAAAATTTCTGCCGATACACAAACTGATAGTGCACAAACAGTTAGAGTTAAAGATAAAGCCTCGCTCACTGATAAACCAAAAATTGAATTAAAAGACGCTGAAGTATTAACGGATAAACATGAAATTTGTGAAAGATTAATTGACGGTTCACAAGTTGTAAGAGTCAAGGAAATAGCAACTCTCACTGAAAAACAAAAATCCCCAACAATTAGATATAGAGATGCGGGAAATATTACTGACGATTATGATGAAGATTTTGATCTTCATTCACCACGCAATGATTCTGGTATACTATCCGATGATACACAAAATTATGCAGATAGCAATATTTCTGATTTTGATCATGAAACAAAAAGAACTGAATGTTCGACAAATACTGCTGCTGATAATAATGGTGTTGATCGTGTTGCACAAACACGACGGGAGGATTTATTCTTAAAATCAAAAGAAACACATTGTTGTTGTAGACCCCAAGAATGTTGTTCCAAATCACATTCTAGTCAAATTAAAAGTCAAATTGAAAACAGTCATGAACATAGTCATAGTCAAAATATCAATAATCTAATTCAAAGTAACAATTGTCAAAAGCAAACATGTACTGATAAAAGTGTTATATCAATTAATTTACCCGATATGATTAATATCACAATAGAGTCACCGAATATTTTAGAATCAAGAATTTCCGTTGAAGACGAAAATGAATTGAGGACCAATTGTCGTGATTGTGAAGTGCAGACTGATGAAAGAAGTTTTCTTGAAAGGGATCTATTGACTGAGGACATTAATCTAAGACCAAACATCAGTCAAACAGATGGACGGACATTTAGAATAGAAAATATATTTCCAGAGTCTAAAACAATTAGAATAAATCCTGATTCGCGAATTACACCTAGAATAAGAATAGTATCTAATATAGAGGGAGATCCATCTCGTTCTGTTATTTTGACCAAATCAATTGCAACTTCTGCCACTGGACCAAAAAGATGTTTAAATTATCAATCACCATTAAAATCACTTCGTAGGAGATTGTCATTTATCAGAGATAGATCATTTATGGACAATTATCTTTCAAGACGAAGTCGAAGTTTCAGTCCACATCGTAGAACGCGTTCAGAGGAGGGAATTGTAAAAAATTGGACAAGATATCCTTCTTCAGAGATAATACAACGATTGAATCCAGTTCAAGAAGTTTTATTGGAGCGAGCTAGGGAAGGTTATTTATTTTCAAGATCCTCACGAGAAAATGAAATTTGGAACAATATTAGGCCATTGAATCAATATTTCACAACTTCGCCAGGTGAGATGAATTTATTTGACGGTAGACAATTACAAACTCTAAAAGTAGATGAGATAAGAAAAGATTCCTATTTTTCTGATGATAGTTTAGATTTAACAGAGGAGAAATTTTGTGATGATGATAAAATTCTTGAAAAGGGAAAGGATCCCTGTCAACCTGATCTTGTTGCTCATACTAAGGAGAATTCGAAAATTAATGTTCCCGATGCAATGGAATCTATTGATGCCGCCAAAAAGAAGAGAGTATCTTTTTCAACGTCAAATATTGTTGACGGACAGAATACAGATTCAAAACTTTCACTTACACCTAAACCTATTATTAAGAAAAAGAGTGATGATGAGAATCATCAACAAAATGTTAATGAGGAAATTTCTGTAAATGAAGATGCAAAAATTCCAATAGACAATGTTCAGGAAAATGTAATTGGCAATGAAGACGTTTCAATTGAAAATGAAAATAAATTCACAGATGAACAAAATTTTGATGATCAGGATGCAATCGATTGGAATTCGATTAAGAAAAAGGATTTGAATGATGAACAACAGAATTTAATTCAAAATGTGATTCCTAGGGATTTGGAGACACAACCTGTGGAAATAGGTAAAAATGATTCGATATTATTTGAGGATCATCAGGATAATGAGGAATTAGTGAAACATCAAGAAACTATGAATCAAAATCCCATTCAGAAAGATATTCAAGATTCATTTAAAGAAGACCCAATGGATGAGGAAAATTCGATGAATGATGAAAGTTTGGATGAAAATAGACCGAAATTGAAAAATCAAAGGAATATTTTACAAGACTATTTGGATGAGGCAGTGACTTTTATTCGTAATGTACATTCTGCAAATGATTATGCAACTGCTACAAATTTTTTGAAAAAGTATTTAAGAACAACAAGACGTCCAAGACGATTACTAAATAAAAATAACGATTATATAGAATATGCAGGTCAGAAAATAAGTCTAAAAGATGATACAGATCAATATTTAATTGATGATGATATTGAAATACCCAATAAAGCTTATGAAAAATGTCTTCAGGGAATTGAAAAACTTGAAAAATGTATTGAAAAAGTCAAAGACCATGAAGATTCTCTAAAGGAAAAATATGGAATTGGACTTGAACCTGCTGGTGCTAAACTTGTTTTAGCAAATTCCAATCAGGATTTATTGGAATTTCTTGACCATCAATGTGATAATATTGTGGATAGTGACAATATTTTGGATTCTGATCATGAGGAGAATCTCGATATCAATCATGATACTTATCTTGGTACAAATCCTGGAAATCCAACATACAATTGGAGTTATCACAATACCAATGATGGTGGATTACGATATGGTTCAATTCCTAGATCTCAATTTTCAAATATTTCTAAACCACAAATTGGAAATCAATATAGATCACAATTTGGATTAAATTCTAAATCAATGAATTTTGAAAATTATTCCAAAGGAATTGATAATATGAAAATAAATAAGCGATTTTTGAGAAATCAAAATTTATTGAAATCAGAATTGAAAAATTTAGATAGAAATTTTGATGATATTCATTTGGATGATGATAAAAATTATTCACGTTTATCGAAAATTAATTCAATTAAAACGTCGGATTGTTTATTTAAAAATTTCAAAACTGATGATATTTCATTATCAAAAAAATGGAAAAGTCCAGCATCATTTAGACATAGTTCATTACCACGTTTGACATCATCATCTAATGAAAGTTTCAGTTCTAGTGAAACAATTGCAGCAAGTTCAGAATCAATTGACAATATTTCCAATGTTGGAGAACAAATTAAATATCCCGGCAGTCCTAGAGTAAAATTTCTTCAATTATTAAATGAAAGACGACGAATTGTGGAAAATAGTCGAAGAGCAAACAAAAGTTGAAAATCAAATAATTAATAATATGTATTTTGATATATATAAATTGAATCGCGAGACTGAAAATGTGTATTTTTGTAATTTTTATAGACACTGCTAATGATTATTATTTTGAGAGATCGCAGTTTTCATGGTTTTCCCTTTTTGTTTAGTTTATCAGTTTTAAATTGGAAGTGCTATTGTATAATTTCATTTTTATTTTGATTTTGACTGAAATTAGTGACTTTGGGCAAAAAATTAAATTAAAATTGAATATTAACTCTAGACAGTACTGGCTCATACATAGAAGTACAACTGGGGTAGAAAAATACCCCAATAATTATTGTTTTGTTATTAGAATGTTCAAATTTAAAGCAAAAGTAACTTAATTATGTCATTTTCTACGTTTTTTTTTATAAGGAAGAAGATAGCATTTTTCTGTTTTTTGATACAATTAAAAATATGGTCAAAAAATTACAAAAAACAAAAAATTAGTATAAAAGTAAATAATTACCGTTTTGGGGTCAAAATTAATAGTTCGATAACTAAACTGAATTAAGGTTAGGGTGCCGCCATGACAGTTAAGCTTACAGAGCCAGGGCTGTAGTTTGAATTATCCCTGGGGTACTTTTGTACCCTACTTGTACTGTCTAGGATTAATGGCAAATTAGTGAAATAAAATTGAATAAAAATGTCATTACACTGATTTTGAATAACAAATCAAACGGTGTTCGGTTTAGTTTTTTCTTTATATTATAAAAAAAGGAGGAGTTATAAATTTTTAAGTTTAATACTTTTAGGTGAAGACTAAACAGAAACTCAATAGTTATTCTCTTAAAAGAAAGTAAAAATAAATACTTAGAGATGATTTATTAGCTACTAACAATTGTAATAAAAATTTCTTTTTTAAGTTCTCGTAATTTATGTAAATTTAAAATTTCATCGTCAAATTAGTTTTTTTTATAATATTATAAGCTTTAAAAATAGATAATTAAAAATCTATATTAGTTTTCTATTGAAGAAAACATTTTTTTCTTACTTGGAAAAAACGTATTATTAAATAATAATAATAATAATAATAATAATAATAATAATAATAATAATAATAATAAAATAATAATAATAATAGTAATTGTACCCTTAAAATAATAATTATTATAAGTGTAAATTGTAAATTAAGAGATTTGTAACGTGTTAACTTATCGTAAATAAAATGAAATTAGTTTTTAATAATTTGTCCTCTATTATTTTAAAAAGAATCGAATTAAAAATAATTTTTAATTTCTAATAAGTAACTATTATTTTTAAATTATTTTCTTTATTTTTTAGAGAATAAATTTTAACTATTTCTCAATTTTTAAATATATATATATATATAAGTATAATATTTTAAAAAATGTTTTCAGCGCAAATTTAAATAATTTTTTTCAACATGTATCAATATTATTGACAGGGAAAATTTATCTTTTTGACATTATTTTTACATTTTAAAAAATATGTTTCATATATTTATCGCAAATTGACTTAGTGGTTAATTTTTCATAGATAAAATTTGTTTTTCCATGAAAGTTTCTTTCAAGACATAAATTTTGAAAGTCAATTATTTTAATGACTATTTTTTAAATGTTATTTTAAAAATATCAGCCTATATATATAGAAACAAAATTGAAGAAAAACTTTTGTGTTAATTTTGAAAAAATTCATTATGAAGTTATTAATTTTACTAGCAATGGTTATTGTTTTGTCAAATTTTTCTCTCCAAGTCTATGCACGTAAGTAAATTGCAAATTTGTTTAAAAAAAATAAATAAAATTAATTTAAATAATTAATTTTTCTTATATAAGAGAATTTTAATTAAAAATTTTTTTTGAAATAGTGAATTTTAATTTTTAAAAAACGATAAAAAACAAAGTTACAAAAAATTATTTCCATTAATAATTATTCCATTATTTAATTAATCTATTGCTTTTTTTTTTACCTAGGTGAACGATATTATAAAAAAAATGGCCGTATTCATTACAGTTGGGGTCCAAATGACAAATAAATCCAAATAATTAAAAATTCATATTTTGTTTATTGTATATTAAAAATGTAATATATCTAATTTTTAAATGAAATGTATTCTAAAAACTTTGTGACTATTAAAAAAAAATAATTTAAAAACGAGTTTAATAATTAATTCTATTATTAATTCTGATAAAACAATTTAAAATAATAATCAAAATGTTAATTAAAATTAATTGTATATATTACACATAATAATCTATTATCGAGAACTATTATATTTCCGCAATAAATATAATTACATAAAAACAAACTATTTTGATAAGTATATAGAGACAAATAATAATCATTGATTCAAAGAACATTTTGAAAGGTTATCAGTTAAATGCTTGACTTTTGCTCTTAGATAAGTTTTTAACTGTCTTATTGTTTCTTATATATATATACATATATATACGACAAAAGACATGAAAAAAAAATAAATATAAAATTCTAACAGTCAAGGTCAATGTAAATAAGAATTATTTTCCAAGCATTTTGAATTAAGAGTAATTACTTCAGTTTGTGAGTATTAAATGTGTAATTATATAGCAAGAAAATATTGAAGAAATAAAGTTTATAATAAGTCCAAAATTATAATTTTCAAAAATGGTTTGTACTTTATAAAGAATTATTGAAATTTACAAAAAAAATTTCGTAACAAAAAGTCAATATCTCTGATTTAACTAGTCAATTATTATCTATTAAATATTCGAAACTTAAAATTATTTCCCATTCAATAATTAATTATTTTAATGAAATATATATTTTTTTTTATTTCATTTCAAGTAAATTTTTTTCGAATAATTTAAATTGAAATAAATGTTTTTTTTCTTTGTAATTATGCTAAAAGAAAAAATTAATAATTGTATTTAGAAAAATTGTTTGAATAAAAAAATAATTAAACCAAATTTTATTTCAATCCGATGAGATATTTACCTTTTTGATATCAGAAAGAAAAAAACTTCACATGAATTAATATTTAATAGAAAAATTTAATTTAAAGATTGAGAGTAACGATTTGATAGATCCATTCTGCATGGAAGATAATCCATTGAAAATAACTTTTGAGGATATTACATCCGCTGCATTTAAAACTAAAACAGGAGTAATTAATACACCATGTGTGGTAAGAAAACGTAATTTATTTTGATTTTTGAAAATTTTTCTTTTTATTGAAATTTAAATAAACACACGTAAATATTTTTAAGTCTCAAATTGTTCATGAAATACACACTTAACTTTAAAGAGAAAAATTATATAAACTATTGTTTCGGATACAAAGTTCTCTTAAGAAGTGACGCTCCGTATGTGAACTGCCGATATTTATATTCACAACGCGTGAACTGGTGGGAGAAACACTCGAGCCTGCGCAGAACGAAATTCTAGGGTAGGCGACGCACAGTCCAATGGCGGAGGGAAATACGGTCTTTCTTCATCGTCCGTGCGTTTGCCTTTGTCATTCCACTAATTTTTAATACAAAAACAAAAAAATCCCTCGCAATTCCATATCTTTTTTTGTCGGTTATAGAATTTAAAAAAAAAATAATTTCTGTGGTAAAAATGGGAGAATTCCCAAAGAATTATGAAAATTAGGTTAAAAACTGAAAAATTGATAATTTTTTTATTTTTAGCCACGTCTGGGGCCTATACACTTTAACGGATTCACATGAAACTTACAAATAATATTAATTAGGTTAAATTCTTGATATATAATTGTAAATATTTAAATACACTCAAAAAAATTTTAAATTGAACCGATTCGCATGAAACTTATCACTAATATTAATTATCTTGAAACCTCGATATATAATTGTGGATATTTGAATACACACTCAAAAACTTTGGAAATTTTAAATTTTTTATCGTAACTTTTTTAATTATTTATATTAAAAAAAAAAAATTAATTAAAACTTAATAGAATCCTAAAATTTACTTTGGTTAACTTTCATTTCACGAATTGTTTCGATGGTTAAGAAAAATTTTTGCCTAATGTAACTTTTTACATTGAAGATGTTTTTGTTGGAATAGAAAACTTTTCAGAAATATATAATTATAAAAAAATTACACTTTATAATTTAGAAATAAAATAACTTTTCAGCAATCGAGACTTTCAGAAATGACTGGAATGGATCTTTATTTAAAAAAAGATTTTTTACAAGTAACAGGAAGTTTTAAGGAACGTGGTGCACGAAATGCTCTTTTAAAATTATCCGATAGTCAAAAAAAGAATGGAGTAATATCTGCATCATTGGGCAATCATGCATTGGCACTTTGCTATCATGGTTTATCACTTGGAATTCCAGTAACTGTTGTAATGCCTGTGGTAGCGCCAATAATGAAAATTGCATCATGTCAACAATATCGTGCCAATGTAATAGTAAAAGGCGTCGATATGGGTGAAGCAAAAAAAGAAGCACTCAAATATGCTAAAGAAAAGGGATTAATTTACATTAATGGGTATATATAATTAATTTAATTACTTTCGATGGAAAAGGAATTTTCAATAGAGAGGAATTTTTCTAAAGGAATCTATTTTTCTTTAGATACGATCATCCAGATATAATGGCAGGTCAAGGAACACTTGGTTTAGAAATAATGGATCAAGTTAAAAATATTGATGCAGTTGTTGTACCAATAGGTGGAGGTGGTCTTATTGCTGGAGTTGCATTGGCTATAAAAACACTTCTTCCAAATGTTACCATAATTGTGGGTTCAACTATTGTTTGGATACTACTTCCAAATTTTACACACTAAATATTTTTTTTCTAATGGCGATTATTAAAATTAATTTTACTAATGATTTTAACAGGGTGTGGAATCAGAAAGATGTCCTAGCTTTTTTTTGGCACGTCAAAATGATAAGCCAACATTTACGGCTATTCAATCAACATTAGCTGATGGTTTGGCAGTACCAATGGTTGGTTATAATGCATTTGCAACAGCTAATCCTCTAATTGATAAACTTGTTGTTGTTAAAGAAGAATGGATTGCCATTGCAATTTTGAGATTAGTTGAAAATGAAAAATGCATTGTTGAAGGTGCTGGTGCTACAGGATTGGCGGCAATTCTTTCTGGCCAATTGGATGAATTGAGAGGAAAAAGGTATTTAGTATATTATTATGATTTAACGGTCATTTTAAATTTAAAAAATTGTATTTATTTTTCAGAGTAGTCCTACCACTTTGTGGTGGTAATATTGATACAACAATACTTGGTAGATGTTTAGAAAGAGGTCTTGCTGCTGATGGACGTCTTGTTAAATTTTCAGCACAAGTCTCCGATAGACCAGGAGGAATTGCAGAATTATGTACATTATTGGCGAGTATTGGTGTTTCAATAAAAGATATTATACATGAACGAGCATGGATAATGTCAGATATTTTTAGTGTTGATGTAAAAGTTGTTTGTGAAACAAGAGACAAAGAACATGCTCAACAGCTTAAAATGATATTAAACAAAAATTATTCAAAAGTTATTTTTGGAATAGATGACATTGTTCCGTCTCTATCATCCATAGAATAAAATAGATCAATTTTGAAATTTTTTATTATGGTTCTAATAATCGTTTATTGGGAAATGAAATGCGATTTAAAATTTTTTGTGAAGCAGTATTTCTAATCGTCGATAAGGTTAAATTTTATTGAAATCAAAAATGTTTTTACATTAACTATTAATATTAGAAATTAAGAAAAACAGTTTTCAATATAAGAATCAAAAATTGAAAAAAAATTGAAAATTCATATTTCTAAAATGAAGAAACGACAACAAGCTTCTAAATTTTTACATTTACATTGTATCGCAATTGATAATAAATTAATAGCTTTTTCTTTTATCATATCGTTAATTAATATTTTCTCACATTTCAATTTAAGATCATTCATTAAATACTTATCAGCAGCAATCAATAATTCATCAGCGATTTCGTGAATATTTTTTATCTCACTATTATAGATATATTGCAATAATGCTTTAAAAATTTCATATCTTATATCCAATATTGTGACAATATTATTTTTAGTTTCGGAATATTCATGTGAGAACATTGCTAAAAAAACGGGATTTCTAGCAGCTAAAATAATTTTATGTGCCTTTAATTCTTGATTGCCAATAATAAATGTAACATCACAAATTTGTTGATTCTCAAGAAATTGTTCAAAAATATTAAATGTTGGCAATAATGAATCAATCATAAGTTCAGTGACAAGATCTTCGATAATTTCAATGCTAAATAACAATCTTAAAATATTATTTGGTGAATAATAAGTTTGTTTTGAATGAGCACCTAAATCAGTGAATGGTAATAAAATTCGATTCAATGGCGGAAAAAATGTTTGCGATTGCCATAAATGTTTGCCATCTTCATTAAGAATTGAACATTTAACAGTTGTGTATCTTGGTAAATCCGGTATGCATTTTAAATGTACATATTTATGAACATAATGAAAAGAAATTTGAAATGATTTTTCACATTCGTTGTCATTTAAAAAAAATGTCGATGATTTAATAATTGGAAATCGTTGTTTATTTTCACATGTATGCAATGAGTCAAAATCCATTATAGTCCATTTAAAATTGGCAACAATTTTTTTCAATCGAGTTACACTGCTCATTGTAATTTCATATTCCTTTTGTTCTTGAATATTTTTAACTTCGGTACTCATAATTTATACTTTCTTTTAATGTTTTCTGAAAATTATTATAATATTTAGAATTAAATTTTTATCTTTAAATATTAATTTCAGTGTTTGTGTAAAAAAAATTAGAGTTCAAATTAAAAAAAAATTTTCTATACAAATAAATAGTTAACTGCTGTATTTTTTGCAAATAATATAATTTAATATAAATTATAATAATAGTAATAATAATAATAATAATAATTTTTGTTGGTTATAAAATTGTAAATAGTAAATTAATTGTAATGCTAACCTCTTACAGGATAAACTTTTTGATTTAATAAAATCCTGACTGGTTTTTTATTTACTGTGATAATATATTTGTTTAGGAAATGACAATTTAAAGATGTATTATTTTATTTATTTGTAATATTCTGAACATTGAATATAGAATCTTTAAGCACTGAATTTTCATGTCGATTTTTCTCAAACAAATGAATTACTTCATAGCAACGAAAAAATTATTTTTGAAAAAAAAAATCCAACTTTACTTTTTGAATTCGTAATTCACTGAGATAGGTATTAGGTACATGAATACATGTATAAACAAGAGCAATAATTAAACATTTAATTTTTTTAAAAAAATTATATGAAAAAAAAACATCTGTGTTTGGAATAAAAATAGTGTTTCGTACATACTCTTTTATTTTTTTAATGTTATATATAATATAAAAAATTAATTCTGTGACATAAAATTTAGAGTACACTGAAAAAACAAATAAAAATTCTATTACATATATTTTTATTTATCTAACAGTTTCTGTATTATCGAAATATGATAATGTGATATAATCAAAATTTAATTTCTTTTTTGGAATTTATGTCAACATTTTTCAATCCCATTTAATTCTTTTTCTGTTTGATTTCAAAAATTTGTTTTTGTAAATATACTTTTAAGTTTACGTGGCTGATTGCCCTATTTAAAAAATTTGATAGAAAAATATTTCAATACTTTTCAATCCGTTTTTTAAATCAGCAAATTTAGGTAGATTATATAATATTCCATCAATTATTTTGTATAGAAAGTCTATAAAAATGAATACTTATTGTTTATAAAATTTGATAAAAACAAATTTTTTTCTTAATAGAAATATGTTATATGAGATCCTGATCAATTGGCACGATGTATGTACGTGTGTGTGTATGTGTGTGTGTGTGTGTGTGTGTGTGTGTGTGTGTGTGTGTGGATCTCTTTTTTGTTTAGAAGATAACTTTAACAGGTTTTAATGGATTTAGATAAAATTTAGTAGGCTCATTTATCATAATAATATTCTGTGCAAGAATATGCAATAAAATCGTCTGCCTAAGAAAAATTGAATTTTTTTCGTGAGTTTTTTATGCTTTTGGATGCGTTTTTGGTCATAAAAATGGTCTTCCTCTACTCGGATCTGGGTGTCAATTTTTTTCTACACTTTTGGGTGTATTCTGTGCAAGAATATGCAATAAAATCGTCTGCCTAAGAAAAATTGAATTTTTTTCGTGAGTTTTTTATGCTTTTGGATGCGTTTTTGGTCATAAAAATGGTCTTCCTCTACTCGGATCTGGGTGTCAATTTTTTTCTACACTTTTGGGTGTATTCTGTGAAAGAATATGCAATAAAATCGTCTGCCTAAGAAAAATTGAATTTATTTCGTAAGTTTTTTATGCTTTTGGATGCGTTTTTGGTCATAAAAATGGTCTTCCTCTACTCGGATCTGGGTGTCAATTTTTTTCTACACTTTTGGGTGTATTCTGTGAAAGAATATGCAATAAAATCGTCTGCCTAAGAAAAATTGAATTTTTTTCATAAGTTTTTTATGCTTTTGGATGCGTTTTTGGTCTTAAAAATGGTCTTCCTCTACTCGGATCTGGGTGTCAATTTTTTTCTACACTTTTCGGTGTATTTTGTGCAAGAATATGCAATAAAATCGTCTGCCTAAGAAAAATTGAATTTTTTTCGTAAGTTTTTTATGCTTTTGGATGCGTTTTTGGTCATAAAAATGGTGTTCCTCTACTCGCATCTGGGTGTCAATTTTTTTCTACACTTTTCGGTGTATTTTGTGCAAGAATATGCATTAAAATCGTCTGCCTAAGAGAAATTGAATTTTTTTCGTAAGTTTTTTATGCTTTTGGATGCGTTTTTGGTCATAAAAATGGTCTTCCTCTACTCGGATCTGGGTGTCAATTTTTTTCTACACTTTTCGGTGTATTTTGTGCAAGAATATGCAATAAAATCGTCTGCCTAAGAAAAATTGAATTTTTTTCGTGAGTTTTTTATGCTTTTGGATGCGTTTTTGGTCTTAAAAATGGTCTTCCTCTACTCGGATCTGGGTGTCAATTTTTTTCTACACTTTTCGGTGTATTCTGTGCAAGAATATGCAATAAAATCGTCTGCCTAAGAAAAATTGAATTTTTTTCGTAAGTTTTTTATGCTTTTGGATGCGTTTTTGGTCTTAAAAATGGTCTTCCTCTACTCGGATCTGGGTGTCAATTTTTTTCTACACTTTTCGGTGTATTTTGTGCAAGAATATGCAATAAAATCGTCTGCCTAAGAAAAATTGAATTTTTTTCGTAAGTTTTTTATGCTTTTGGATGCGTTTTTGGTCATAAAAATGGTGTTCCTCTACTCGCATCTGGGTGTCAATTTTTTTCTACACTTTTCGGTGTATTTTGTGCAAGAATATGCATTAAAATCGTCTGCCTAAGAGAAATTGAATTTTTTTCGTAAGTTTTTTATGCTTTTGGATGCGTTTTTGGTCATAAAAATGGTCTTCCTCTACTCGGATCTGGGTGTCAATTTTTTTCTACACTTTTCGGTGTATTTTGTGCAAGAATATGCAATAAAATCGTCTGCCTAAGAAAAATTGAATTTTTTTCGTGAGTTTTTTATGCTTTTGGATGCGTTTTTGGTCATAAAAATGGTCTTCCTCTACTCGGATCTGGGTGTCCATTTTTTTCTACACTTTTCGGTGTATTCTGTGCAAGAATATGCAATAAAATCGTCTGCCTAAGAAAAATTGAATTTTTTTCGTAAGTTTTTTATGCTTTTGGATGCGTTTTTGGTCATAAAAATGGTCTTCCTCTACTCGGATCTGGGTGTCAATTTTCTTCTACACTTTTCGGTGTATTTTGTGCAAGAATATGCAATAAAATCGTCTGCCTAAGAAAAATTGAATTTTTTTCGTGAGTTTTTTATGCTTTTGGATGCGTTTTTGGTCATAAAAATGGTCTTCCTCTACTCGGATCTGGGTGTCAATTTTTTTTTTACACTTTTCGGTGTATTTTGTGCAAGAATATGCAATAAAATCGTCTGCCTAAGAAAAATTGAATTTTTTTCGTAAGTTTTTTATGCTTTTGGATGCGTTTTTGGTCTTAAAAATGGTCTTCCTCTACTCGGATCTGGGTGTCAATTTTTTTCTACACTTTTCGGTGTATTCTGTGCAAGAATATGCAATAAAATCGTCTGCCTAAGAAAAATTGAATTTTTTTCGTAAGTTTTTTATGCTTTTGGATGCGTTTTTGGTCTTAAAAATGGTCTTCCTCTACTCGGATCTGGGTGTCAATTTTTTTCTACACTTTTCGGTGTATTTTGTGCAAGAATATGCAATAAAATCGTCTGCCTAAGAAAAATTGAATTTTTTTCGTAAGTTTTTTATGCTTTTGGATGCGTTTTTGGTCATAAAAATGGTGTTCCTCTACTCGCATCTGGGTGTCAATTTTTTTCTACACTTTTCGGTGTATTTTGTGCAAGAATATGCATTAAAATCGTCTGCCTAAGAGAAATTGAATTTTTTTCGTAAGTTTTTTATGCTTTTGGATGCGTTTTTGGTCATAAAAATGGTCTTCCTCTACTCGGATCTGGGTGTCAATTTTTTTCTACACTTTTCGGTGTATTTTGTGCAAGAATATGCAATAAAATCGTCTGCCTAAGAAAAATTGAATTTTTTTCGTGAGTTTTTTATGCTTTTGGATGCGTTTTTGGTCATAAAAATGGTCTTCCTCTACTCGGATCTGGGTGTCCATTTTTTTCTACACTTTTCGGTGTATTCTGTGCAAGAATATGCAATAAAATCGTCTGCCTAAGAAAAATTGAATTTTTTTCGTAAGTTTTTTATGCTTTTGGATGCGTTTTTGGTCATAAAAATGGTCTTCCTCTACTCGGATCTGGGTGTCAATTTTCTTCTACACTTTTCGGTGTATTTTGTGCAAGAATATGCAATAAAATCGTCTGCCTAAGAAAAATTGAATTTTTTTCGTGAGTTTTTTATGCTTTTGGATGCGTTTTTGGTCATAAAAATGGTCTTCCTCTACTCGGATCTGGGTGTCAATTTTTTTTTTACACTTTTCGGTGTATTTTGTGCAAGAATATGCAATAAAATCGTCTGCCTAAGAAAAATTGAATTTTTTTCGTAAGTTTTTTATGCTTTTGGATGCGTTTTTGGTCTTAAAAATGGTCTTCCTCTACTCGGATCTGGGTGTCAATTTTTTTCTACACTTTTCGGTGTATTCTGTGCAAGAATATGCAATAAAATCGTCTGCCTAAGAAAAATTGAATTTTTTTCGTAAGTTTTTTATGCTTTTGGATGCGTTTTTGGTCTTAAAAATGGTCTTCCTCTACTCGGATCTGGGTGTCAATTTTTTTCTACACTTTTCGGTGTATTTTGTGCAAGAATATGCAATAAAATCGTCTGCCTAAGAAAAATTGAATTTTTTTCGTAAGTTTTTTATGCTTTTGGATGCGTTTTTGGTCATAAAAATGGTGTTCCTCTACTCGCATCTGGGTGTCAATTTTTTTCTACACTTTTCGGTGTATTTTGTGCAAGAATATGCATTAAAATCGTCTGCCTAAGAGAAATTGAATTTTTTTCGTAAGTTTTTTATGCTTTTGGATGCGTTTTTGGTCATAAAAATGGTCTTCCTCTACTCGGATCTGGGTGTCAATTTTTTTCTACACTTTTCGGTGTATTTTGTGCAAGAATATGCAATAAAATCGTCTGCCTAAGAAAAATTGAATTTTTTTCGTGAGTTTTTTATGCTTTTGGATGCGTTTTTGGTCATAAAAATGGTCTTCCTCTACTCGGATCTGGGTGTCCATTTTTTTCTACACTTTTCGGTGTATTCTGTGCAAGAATATGCAATAAAATCGTCTGCCTAAGAAAAATTGAATTTTTTTCGTAAGTTTTTTATGCTTTTGGATGCGTTTTTGGTCATAAAAATGGTGTTCCTCTACTCGCATCTGGGTGTCAATTTTTTTCTACACTTCTCGGTGTATTCTGTGCAAGAATATGCAATAAAATCGTCTGCCTAAGAAAAATTGAATTTTTCTCGTGAGGTTTTTATGCTTTTGGATGAGTTTTTGGTCATAAAAATGGTCTTCCTCTACTCGGATCTGGGTGTCAATTTTTTTCTACACTTTTCGGTGTATTCTGTGCAAGAATATGCAATAAAATCGTCTGCCTAAGAAAAATTGAATTTTTTTCGTAAGTTTTTTTTGCTTTTGGATGCGTTTTTGGTCATAAAAATGGTCTTCCTCTACTCGGATCAGGGTGTCAAATTTTTTCTACAC